CGTTCGTTCGCTCATGTATAATGAGCACTCTTCTACAACGTCTTATTTCCCGTACCACTGTTTATTTACAAATATAGGCAAACAACAAATTTAATTTATTACAAAAAAAAAAAAAGTGTTACGGGATTTGAGTAATCTTTTATAAGTGTTAATAATTAATAATAATAATAATAAGCCTTAAAGCATTCGAAATAATTCGGAAAATATGATCATGTTGATAACCGGAAATTTTCTTGATGTTGGATCAGGATTATTCATTTGTTGTTAATTTTACGAAACTATTTATATAATAGTAATGTGTCGCAAGATATTTGATACAAAATTCCGACTGGTAATTTAAAACTTCAAACATGAAAACAAACATTGTAATATTTTTTTAAAATTCATCAAGTGATTCGAAGACTTTAAATGAGAAGCCTGATTTGTACGACCTACCAATTATTTTCTCTGTTTGTGGTTTGTAAAAGGAAGGCTGTGCAAAGAGAAGAACAATAAAACTGCCTCATTACGGGAAAAAATATTTATAATCCTTTTACTGGCGCGTATACCAACTTAATGATCTCGTAGGCATACACGGTTTCAAATGGCAGACATTAAACGATGGCCAGAGCGACAAAGCCATAAGCGATATTCTCAGTAGCGGGTGAGCTCTTTGTCGGAACAGGTCTTGCGCAGATTATTTGTGGCGATTTTATCCGAAATCTGTGAAAAATAAATTTCCAAGTGTAGTTCAGAGAAGAAAGATGATTTATTAAAATTCGAGTAGTAAATAATTGGTAAAAAACAAAACAAAACTCAAAACTCAAAAAAATACCATCATCACCATTGTCGTGACCACTAACACCAAATGATCAGGAAACAATATTATTATCGCTGTTATTATTATTTTTGTCACCACCATCACTATTATGATTATTATATAGTAATAAACCATACTATTCATAAAAATATTAATATAATATCAAATCATTAGTATTGTTCAACACTGTCATGCCACCATTCGAATACTCGTGATTGTTATTGATATTCGTTATATTCATATTATTTTTAATTATATAATAAGGAAAAAAATGACAATGAATTTAAATTACAATTATTCAAATAATCAAAATATTTATGAATATAATTATAATAATAAATGCTCGGAATAATTATGTAATGAATTTAAATATATTAATAAACTGATATTCGAATATTCGTAAATAAATTGGCATTCGGTTAGGAACACTATTAATATTAATATACTATTAGAACAATTCCAATATAAGAAGCTTTCGTTAACTTTGATCCAAAACATTAAGGTAAAGCTATATTTACAAAAAGTTGTCTTTGAGAAAAATTGCAGTGTGCCTAAATTTGTATGGATCGTTATATATACAATCTATTTTTGACCATTTATTAATAGTTTTTGTGTGTACTGTTACACCCCTTTACTCCATTTGTGGTTCCCAATTTAAAAATGTTCCAGATATAAATTGCATTGCATAATAATAATAAAGATCGACAGAATATACATTCCAATATTAACATTAATAGGAGGAAAATAAGTCGTCAAAATTTTATTGTTATTGTTATTATTTGAGACAATGAACGGGAATGATGATAATAATAATAATTATCACACAAAAAATATCCGCAACTCCAATTTTATTGATCAAATTGGTGATTGCGGATTTTTTTTACTGCATAGTAGTAATGGGATGCAATGATAAGAATCGTGACATTTAGAAAAATTTTTGGTATTAATAATTTTCAGTCATAATAATATTTCTTTATTAAAATTTTTTAATAATGATTCTATTGATGAAGAAGATGCGGCAAAGATGGAAAATTTGTATGTATAATTACATTAATTGATTTGGTTTGGTTTGGTTTGGTTTGGTTTTAAACGCTTCAATTGATGAAGAAATAATGAGGATGAAGATGGTAAATTAAGATATGTAACACAATCTGATAAATTATTGTCATTCTCTGGAAGTTTTTGTGGCTATGGCATTCATGACATTATATTTGAAGAAGACGATAAAAGTAATGTAACAATCTCGAAACTTCCAAATTGCCATCTGTTAAATGCTATGAAAAATTTTCAATATATCAGAGTGTTCAGTATAAATGATAAGATGATCAATTATTATGGTATATCCAAAGATTATGCCGGACCAATTATTGATCCAGACCGCACAGAAGAATGTTGCCATTTTAAAGCAGCAATTTCGGCAACTTGATCGATTTATTTTCTTTATATAATTCATAAAACCTTTAGATATTCAATGTTGAGGGTAAAATTTAATTAAAACAGATAATTAAAGTTTATTATATAGTGAAACATTAAATGTGCTCATTAGAAGGTAGAAGGGGTAATTTGAATCGATGTGGATACGGGTATATTAATATTTATAAATATGATATAAGTTCTTGTTCCGACGTATTACTAGCAGAAATATTTTTTTTAATTCAAATATATTCTTATTATTAAACGATAAACTGATTGTATCACATGATTATAATACAATGTTGCAAAAAAAATAAGTTTGTTTATTTCTGCCAGTGATTACCTGATAATGACAATAAATTGAATTTTCCTTTTTACAGGATAAAATTTGATCATCAAAAAAAAAAAAAAAAAAAAAAAATAATAATAATAAAGGAAAAATTCCGAATCTGTTTTTTTTCCTCAAAAATATAAAAAAGTAGCAACTTTGATAATTTTTTTTTCAAAAATCTCTTTGTTTTTTACAATAATTAAATAGTTGTTAATTTTTTTTTGCAATATCTGTTAATTAATTTATTTGTAAGAATTTTAATTATATTAAATATGAAAGATAATAAAATTAGCCCCGACAATATTCTCAATTCATTAGATTCGCTTACTTCAATTGAAACTATTAATAAAAAAGAAAAACATAATAATAAAAACAAGATAGTCAATATATTGAAATCATTTATTAAAAATTTAAATTTCTTTGGTAAAAAGACAGACAATGGTAAACCAAAAGAAGAATACGGTGGTAGTGACAGGAGTGATTCAAAGGTATCAGAAAACGTTGATTGCAGTGATAAAAACAAGATAGTCAAAGTCATTACATTGGATTCATTAACTAACTTATCAGAAAAAAAGACAGATGATGATAAATCAAAAGAAGGGCACGGTGATAGTGACAGAAGCAATTCGAATATACCAGCAAATGTTGACAATTTCTTTAAAAAAAAAATTTATGTTGATAAAGAAAGAGATAAAAATAGTATTGTCTATATTGATGCTAAAAAGAATTCATTTACTGATTTAAATGAGTTTTTTAATAAAACAACTGACAATGATAAACAACAAGCAGACAATTTTAATCTACCAGAAAAAGCCGTTGATGTTTATAAAAATAATAATACAGTCCGTTTGTTTATCGGTTTATTTAAAGCTTTTAATGAAAAAATAGGCAATGGTAAACAACGTCCTAAATCAATATCAATAAGACAAAATTTTCTGGAAACAAACAATTCAAAAAATTACACCAAACCGAAGGTATTTATGCGGGAACTTTTATTCGGATTAGCAAGGACCAAAGTTACTATAAAGTCATGGAATAAATTTAAAGTTAGGTTTGATTTTTTGAAAAATTGGAATTTTATTTTAAAAATTATATAATAAGAACAAAGCTGCTTTGCCTTAAAACGGGGGCATGTCACTCCAAAAAGTATGTACTTCTTAATTTAAAGCAAGCTTTTCTTTTTATTGCGAATAATTAATATACAAAATGTCATTAATATTAATATTGATATTAAATTTTATTGATTTATCGACACATATATATAATATTAAAATATTAAATTATTAAATTGCTTGATGCAATATTTCAAATTAAAAAACTTCTTTAAAACTTTAATTATAATGTTAACGTTCTTTACAATTGCAACAAGGCTCCGAACGAACCAATATACACTATAAATTGACCCAATTTAACCATGAAAATTCTTTGTTTCAACAAATTATAATTAAATCCGTGTTACAATGAACTTTGGTTTACATATAAAATTAGTTAAAATGCGACCATATGAAAAATAACATACAGAAAAGGTATTGAGTACGTTATAAACATGCGTAATTCAAAATAGTAAACCATGGTACAAAAGGTACTAGTTACGAAAAAAAAACACTTTTCCGTACCTTAAAATATGGGATCAGTGCGGAATACATACAATAATCTAATACTAATACTAATACTAATACAGAAATGATACGGGAAGGTTCCGGAATTCATGTGGAAACTGTATATTATTATTGTTGTTATATTAATATAACTTTATGGTAAATAATTATATCATAATAATAAATAATAAATATTTTATTTTGAAAAAAGGAATAAATAAAAAACGTGTTACGACACTACACTCGCTATTCGTGTTGTAAATCTAAAAATGTTAAGGACTACAGCTACTAGAAATCATTATATCTAAAATACTATGGTGTTATAAATGAACGTAAAGAATGTGGTTATTAAAATGCGCTATACTCTTTAGTAGATGGATAGATTAGTCAAATTTGGTCGATTAGAATTTTCCAATATTGATGCGAGAGAAGATAAAGGATATAATTATAAAATGTGATCTTCATACTACAGCATATGTTTCTCAAAAACCCGTTTTATTGGGGGGTGTCATACAAGTGGATCAACAAATCACCGTTATTGGTAAAAACAATAATAGTAATGATAATAAATTGAGAAACGGAATAATTAAGTTATTAATAAATAATAGTTGTTTTCTAATTTGAGCATGTTTGAATTGAACCCTATAACTTGATTTAATGTATTGGATTGAGTTAAATCAAGTGATTGGATCGGGGTATTAACCCGCAATTCGACTCCTTCAGTATATGGAGTGATTAAAACTTACTGAATATCTAAAGACCTTTAAAGAATAAAGAGAAATTCGGATAGATTGTATAATAAATTCTTTTTTTTTTTTTTTTGCAGATTAGGTGACTTAATTACAAGTGGTAAATCAACTTCTGCTATTTTCTTTACTTTTTTAACAGTTAAATAATTAGGAATTTTATTATTATAAATATTCCGATACATTTTTTTCCGTTTCCATTACCAAAATCAATGCTTATTGTAATATTTAACAAGAAAAGAATTAAAAAAGTGTAATTATAATTACATTTTAATTGAAACATCTTTAGCAAATATTTTATTTCGAAGAAAAAAAGTAGAATAGAATATTATTATAAACAATTTATTTTAATTCTAAATATTTTAGATGTGAAGGACGATTTTGTAGAAAATTTCAAGTAATTAACTGTTGTATTAAATCTTTTAAAATGCATATATGTATATCAGCGAAGCAATCCATCATTCCATTAGCAATAATATTAATAACTTGAAATAAAAACAATTGTAAAAATAATTCTTCTGAAAAGGGGTTTCCCTTTTGATTTCGTTACTATCTCATATAAACGGTAGCATAAGAAAAAAATTATGGTAATTGTCCATCATTGTTCATCAGTAGACGAATATCTTTGTTTTTATTTTTGCAACTCGACCTCCTTATTATCATACAATCTGGATTGATAATTAATTATGTGACTTTCATCTTTACTTAACCCATTCATATTCTCGAATTACAAACTAATTCTTTATTGGAATAAATAACTAATATATCACGTAACAATAGTTATTCACCTAAAATTATCTAGTCATAATAAATAGATTGCTAACAAGTAAGCCTCGTTGCGTTAAATCAGGAAGATCCAAATCCTCCCCATAGCTAATTGTAGCTTCATAGAAAGTCATCATCACTGCCACAATCAAAAATGGCAGGATCTAAGTAAATTAATATAGTAAAATCAGTAAGCATGAAATCTTGTCTGACTGATAATAAATAAGATTTCGATTATTCCAATTGTTTAATTTTTGAGGAATATATACTTGGAACAAATTTAAAAATTATTACTTTATATTATGTAAAATAAAAAAAATACATCAAAATCCGAAAAAACGTTTTTTCAATTGTTTACATAGCTGCGCAACCAAAATTATTACTTATTATTATTATTATTATTGAGTAGAATAAAAAAATTATATCAAAAAGGGGTTTAAATTGTTATGTAATGTCCTGCAGCTGCATAACCAAAGTCATTATTATTATTTTATTTATAACTATCAAACAGAATCTATTTTTTTAAACAATAAACAATATCTTTTAAATTATGGCTAAAATTTACAATTAATAATTTTTTTTTGATACAGATAATGTTATATGGTAACAAGAAGTTACTATTAAAGTATTAAAGTGTGAGTTTGTTGGTAAGCTGTTTGAAAATGGCATCTGCAATGGAATGATAGGTGTGATCACCAAAGTTATAGATGATGATAATGTAGAAATTACTTTTTCAACTAATGGTAACATTAATGGTAACATTATTAAAATGAATGCTCAAAAAATCACTATAAATTTTGAAAATCAATGGTACACATGCCTCGAGGTGTCAATTCCCACCGCAGAATGCATTTTCCTTGACAACTCACAAGACCCAAGGTGTGACATTGCCATATGCGACTCTAACAATTGATGAAAATATGTGGCGATGAGCAGGGCTCCTGATTGCCTGAAGGTGAATAAAGATGTTGTGACTGAATACAGAAGAACTCATGCTTTAATACTTTAATAGTAACTTCTTGTTGTCATATAACATTATCTGTTATTAAAAAAAAATTTATCAATCATAAATTTTAGCCATAATTTAATAGATAAGATTCTGTGGTAATTATATAAATAAAATAATATTCAAATAACTTTGATTGCGCAGCTGCGGGACACTACGTAACAATTTAAAAACCTTTTTTTGGATTTTGACGTATTTTTTTTATTTTATCCAATAATAATAATAATTTTGGTTGCGCAGCTGTGTAAACAATTGAAAAAACGTTTTTTCGGTATTTTTTTTATTTGACGCAAATCAAGTTTATCAGTCTCGTATTTTTTTTTCAAAAATTAACAATTGGAATAATCAAATTATCCCAATTCGATTTTTTATTCGACTATATTAATATAATGAACCTTTTTTCGAATAAAAAAAAATTGGGGAGCGGGAAGTTCATTGCATCGCAAACAACAGGCAGGCAATGGCAAGGCACTTGCAAATTGCAATTGCAATTGCAAAGAACTCTAGAGTATTTGCCGTACGACTCAAAATTTGCTTAATAAGGTGAAAACATTGATCGCACCAAAAACCAAACAGAACTTAACACGAAAAGAAATTAATTTGCAAAATCGACAAAAAATTACGGAATTTAGAAAAGGACAGTAAAATACATTCCATTTAAAAAGCTTTACGAAAGAACGACAGATATCAATAAAAACCACTACCCAAAAAAATCCTCCGATCAGGAATTTAAACGTTTCAGTCGACTTGGTAAACCAGATATTAATAATAATATCAGGAGTTTCATATGAAATCAGTAACGTCAAGGTTAAATGGATTTTAATTTGGTTCCAAAATTTTATAATATTATTATTATCGATCGTAAGAAAACAACAAAATCAACATTCAATCTCTATTTCAGGATTAATTGTTGATTTTTTTAAAATGATTTAATGTTTTTTGATAATTTTATCTATAAAAAGGAATTTGTAATGTGGTCGTAGCGCAGTTGATATTTTTATAAATAGTCAATTATTCAAATGTTGCATAATTTAATGTTTGTTGCCACATAACGAATTAATTATTCAAAGTTTTGATCTAACAGATATCTCGATTTAACGGATAAATTTCCTGGCATAATAATAATAATAATAATAATAATATACATATTCCGTGATTTCTGCGGTATTCTGTGCTATGTAGAAAATCATTGTCCCAATGTTGAAAATTAAGTTGGTGAATAAGTGATTGTGGAGGAGGATGGGATGTACTGGTTGAGTCAGTATATCAGTCTATCAGTCCCAAATTTGTATCACACAAAAAGTAAAGTAAGTATCCATTTTTTATTTGCTGAACATTTGGGGCATG